ATCTTTTCTTTCTATTATCTTTTCTTTTTTTTCTTTTCTGCACTTTTTATTTTTTCTTCCTATTCCTTTATTTAGTTGTAGTGTGTATTACCTTTTATCTGTACAACCGTAATACTTAATAAAATTATTTGGAAAAAAAAAAAAAAGGATTATACTTAAAGGGCACCAAGATGCTGAAAAGCTCTATTGTGATTCCTTTTTAAATTTTTGATTACAAAAAAGAAAAAAAATACGTAAAAGGAGCAGAAAAGTGAAAAAAATGCAACAGAGAGAAAAAAAGGGTTAATCTATCATGATAACAATGAACAATTACAGTTCTATATAGGCTTATCTACTACAAATCTTAAACGAATAAGATTTGTGTTAGATAAGATTTAACGTGATCCCTTTATATTTCTAAGAGGCATCTTGAGTTCTGAGCTACCTATTTAGGACTTAATCGACCTTTGGCCGTGGAAGATTACTCTGGGCCAGCCAACCTTGCAGGGTTGTTGTTGGGAACAACAGGAGGAGCGAATGCTTTGTAAACCGCCTTGGGCTCCTGAATGAAAGGCAGGATAGGAGTCCAGTAAATGAATATTGACCATTTTAGGGCCAGCCTGAGATTCCAAAAGAGAAGGGCATTTCAACCCTCCTTATCCACCTTTATTTTGCCTGGAAAGAAAACTTTCTGGCTGATGTTCAGGTGGCGTCTGCATGATGGAGGTTGGCCTTTTGGAAGCTCCTGGGCTGCAGGACGCCTGCCGCCTTTTGAAATTTGGAAGGCTGACCTTGCATGTGATTTTTGTCTAATGTTGGGCAGGGTTGCCCAGGAAACTATCATAGGTTTGCCCTGCAGGAGAATTCATCTTTTCTTCTACTCCCTCCTTTCGGCCTTAGGATTTATCTCACCGCTTCCCTCCCTTATCTCTGGAGCTGACCTTCCTCCCTTTTCAACCTTTTCTCACCTTTAATCTTTCCCTTGTCTGCTCTTTCAGTCCCCCAACAGAGACTTTTAAGAAAAAAGAAATTCTTTCCACTCTCTGGGTCATCCTAAATGTTTATCTTCCTAAACTGAAATCCATGCAACTGGGAAGCTTGCAAAAAAGCCCCCCACTCCCCTGGAGCTTTTAAATTGAGAAAGAAGGGCTTTCTTTTTACCTTCTTATCTTTCTTTTCTTTTTCAAATTTTGCATTTTCATTTCCTCTCCTGGCTGCTAACTCAGCTTGTATGCAGACTCCCAAAATCCCAGGGAGGCACCAGCTAGGAAGAATCTGTCTTGCAAATCTTTTAACCCCAGACGGGGTGGGTTTAAAGCACCTCATGGTTTTCTCCTGGCACTCCAGAGGCTTCTGTTAAACCACTCCCTCAAAGCTGGGAAAATCTGAATTTTGTGCTGCAGCGGCCGGCCGGGAGAAATGGGGGCCAGAGGATCCGTCTTTTCCCCAGATGGAGCAGAGAGCGGAATCAGCCAGGAAAGTGATCTGGTTCCTGCAAGGTTTCCGAGTAAGCTTGTTGAGGGGTGCAGGCTGGCCGAGGAGAAGGTGGTTAAAATATTGAAGGTCGCAAAATACATTCCTTTTTCCAGCTGCTTTTGGAAAGACCAAAAGGCTTCTGGCTTTTAAAGAGTCACTGATCGCTGTGGAAGTGGTCATGGATCGCACTCCCATTCTGCAGCAATACACTCAGTGGCCTTTACAGGTTTGCAAAACTTTTTTTTTTTTAGTTTAATCCAGTTTTTTTTTCCCTGTAAAGGACCCACTTAACTACGGCTCCAGAATCTGTTTCTAAAAAAGCGTTTCTTGCTGAAGTCAGAACTTAACAACTGACCCAGTGCTGTCGTGTTTTTTTGCCATAATCTTTAGCTAGAAATACATCATCTTCTGCAAAGAACTGTGAGTTGTGAAGATAATGACAAGCGGCTTGAAATTATACGAGATGGGGAGTCGAAGTTGTTTTCAAAAGGCCTATTTATGCCCTGATCCACTGCATGATAAGTACAGGGGCATTTATTCCTAGGTAAACATCTGGGGAATTACAGCCTGCGTCAGCGTCTGTTTGCAGAAGAAATGCGATTGAAATATGCAGAGAAATTCACAGATAGAAATAATCGAGCGGGACGGAGAAACAATTGAGAAGCGAGAGGCGCATTTTATGACTTGACTGGGCGGTTGTTTTAAAAGTAACCTTAGTGTCCTAGAAGGGAAGGGAACCTGGAGGCCATTCATCCCACCCCCAAGCAATACAAACAGGGGTTCAAAACTGTAATGGGCAAGAATCATGGCGAGAAGGGGATGGGGAACGTCATGTCGAAGGGATCCTTGGCGCCATGTTTTTCTGCATTTTTGCAGCCCCCTTCCTCGAAACAGCTAATGTTAGGCATCAGCTCTTACCAAATGGGCTGAAAATGAGAGGAAATGTGATTTTTAAGCTGGCAGGAATCAGACACCATTGGAGCGCTATTGCAAAATGTGATGTAAGGAGCATGACCCCATAACTCTAGTGGTGGGCATCTGGGGGCTGATCAATGGGTTGAAGGGGAATTGTTGCATTTTACTTTCTGAGTTTCCTCTTCTGGCTAACCCATAATATCCATCGTCTGGTTTCGGCTTATTGCTTAACTGGGACTTCGGCCTCTTGGTGAGTCACTGCGATACTTGACCTCTAACACAACTTTTGTGGCATTTGTTAGTTGACCTTCTAACTAGCACTTGCTCTTCCTGTGAATTTAAACATATAGGCTGAAGTTTGGAATTGTGGTTTGGAAAGTCGGCTGTATTTTTATTTCTGTTTTTAAGGCTGTTGTCGGTGGTTTAAGTGAAAAAAGCGGTGGGGACGTTTTTAAAAATATATTTAAATTGGGTTGTTTAAGTGAATGTTTTCTTCAAACCCATTTTCTCGACCTCTTCTTTGTTGAGATGACCGCTCTGGTTTGCTTCTGAAGAGGTGAAAATGTGGCCTCTTGGATTAAACATGTTTTGCATCGTCCCCAGACAAGATTGTTCCAAGATTTCTCTGCCTAAAAATTTCAAGTTTATGTTTCTGATTTTGTGGTTAATGGGATGCAAACATAGGACAAATCTTGAATGCCAAAGCGGGTCCAAAATTCCTGAGCTTCTGATCTTGTCCAGGCTCACAGATCCAGGATCACTGGGATTCCCTAGAATAGAATTCGCAAAACCGAGTGGCTGAAAAATGAAATGGTTTGCCAAGTTTCCAGGAACTTTTAAATGGTGTTTTCAAGAGAGACTGAGCCATCCACCAGCCAAGGCTTTTCAGCCTAGTGTGGGTCTGGATTAGTTTATGGTTCGGAATGTGGAAACCTGGGTTAGCTAAGTAAAAACTATGGTTTGCCTAATTACAGGTAACTGTTATGGGAGTGTAATCATGATCAGGCAGGATGGTTAACGTGGCTGGGAAGAAGCCACAAGATAAAAAAAAGGAGGCAGGGTCACTTCTCTTTTGAAAAAGTGGTGCCCAGGTGGGGATTATAGTATGGCTGCATTGATGAAGAGCACGTTCCAGTACATTCAGTGGGTCTTCTCTAGAGTCAACATGTATAGAATTGCAATGAGCATTACAGGTTGTCCTTGTTTAGCGACTGCCTCGTTTAGCAACCATTCGCAGTTACGACAGTGATGAAAAAGTAACTTTACGACCAGTCCTCGCATTTACGCCCTTCGCAGGTCTGTAAAGCAAAGAAAAGCTGTAGTGAGATCATAAGCACAGTCGCAGTTTCACGTAGAGACCATTTCGCTTAACAATCAAGTTGCTGGTCTCCATTGTGGTTGCTAAACGAGGACTGCCTGTATTTTCTCGGAATTAACTCAAAGCATTGCGTTCTGAGGCCACGTTTGCACAACACACTTTCCCATGGGTAAGCTAACTAGGGGTTTACTCAGTTTTTTGCCTTGGCACAGCAGACTGAGCTGCAGAGTAACCCCACTGGGTGGGTTTGTCCAAGGTATCAGCCCTTCGAGGTAGGCCCGGTCAGGGAACAACCACGCAAGGACTACTGGAAGTCAACTTTATTGTTAGAAAGTTTTGTAGCAAAAAATTTTTTCTCAGCCTTTCTTTTTCATTACTTGGTAATTCTTACATTCCTTTTTCAAGATTATTGCTCTTTCCTTCTGCACCCAACGTGCTAGGCTGAAGGAAGTGTTGGGGGGGGTCATCTCAGAAGGTTGCATTGACTGAATGAGCCATTATTTATTTAATCCATGCCCCCCCAGCACCAAATGTACAGTTGGGATCATTCTGCGGGTGCATTTGAGATGCTTGATGGATGTTCCTGGTCTCGTTGCATGCTAGATGGCGGTCGTAAACTCCCCCAGCCCAACTCCAGCTTCTGCAGGGCCCTGGGAAGCCCACCTGGAAGAAGACCCTGGAGCTGCTGGTGACTGCAGTGCAGAAAATCTCTATTTTCAAGGTAAGGGATTGCCACGCCAGACCAGGATCACACCTTGCTCCAAGCAAGGCTTGGTCCCTTGAATAAATCGCAGTTGGGTCAGCACGCTAAATCAGACATACGGCGCAGTGGCGTCTGGACAGCCCACTTTCCCATTCATCAAGTAATGATGGTTTACTGAATTGCCATAGCCTGCTGAAGTCACAGCGTGTAGACTAAAATATGATCAGATGTGGGTGGTTCAGTGTCGCCTGTGAACATAGCTTGAGGCTTAGCGTACTGTGTTAATTCAAAATTGCGCATTAAGCCAGGAAGAAAAGGCCAGCAAATTTTCTTCTATTGCTTCTCCTTGATTCAACTAGGGCAGGGTTTCTCAGCCTTGGCAACTTTAAGATCTGTGGCCTTAAACTCCCAGACTCCCCCCGCCAGCATGGGTGGACTTCAGCTCCCAGAATCCCCAGCCAGCATGGGTGGCCTTCAGCTCCCAGAACCCCCCAGCCTAGCAGGCGTCAGCTTAGTGTGGTGCTGAGAGGAGGCTCAGATCTGGCTGCTGCTGGTCATTTGGGGGTCTCTCTCCCCTCGGCAGGGATGGAGCTGTTTGAAGAGGCCCTGCAGAAGTGGGAGCAGGCCTTGACCGTCCGTCAGAGGGACCCCACCGGCCCCTCTCTCGCTTGGGACATCCCCAAAGAAGAGGAGCTGCTGCCTGAAGACCTCTGCGAGGTACGGACTCGGGGCGTCGCTCCTCTGGCCACTTCCAGTCTCCTGGGAAATGTTAAATTCAGGGAATGGTGCCCCGTAGTTGGTCAGAGCAAGAGTCCCCTTTGACATGGCTTCACGGACACAACCCCGGGTTCTTTGGGCCATGGCGTGGCCCAACGGTTTGCCCTGCCTTCTTCCGGAATCCCTTCCCAGTGTAGCCTGCGTCTCTAATTTTGATATGATTTTTATTGAAACTTTAGAAAAAAGGAGAAAAGCAGTAATACAAACTAATATAAAGTAAGGAAGAAGACAGGAAAAGAAAGCAAAAAGTGCAAGAAAAGGGGGGGAAAAGTGGAAGAAAAATAGAAAAGAAAGAAAAAAGATCCTAAAAAGGGCTTCCGATATTCTTCGCGGCAGTGAAAAGGGCAATTCTATTTTGACCTCTCTAAAGCTACAGCATGACTCTCTGCTTTCTATCCTCTACCCTGTGTGATTGTCAAAGCCTTAAATCACACGTTCGTTTTTTTCATTTTTACGCAAAAAGCCCCTAAGGGGTTTCCAGTCACCAATAAATGTAGATGTTGTCTCTTCTCTCATCAAAGAAGTCAGTTTATCCACCTCAGCAAGATCTGTCAATTTCACCAACCATTCCTCCATGGTGGGTAGTGTCAAACAGTGAAGTCTACATCTCTTGGAGCTTCTGGTGGTCCTCTACCCTAACCGATCCTAACCCTGGTTAGCTTCTAAACCCAGGAGAGCTGCTGCCAGCTAACCCTGATAGATGGAGACCAGTGGGGAGAACTAGAACCAAAACGAGGTTCTACTCACCTTCTGATTTCTCTTGGACCCTTCCCTGAAGATCGTGCGCCAACCTCCTGGGCCATAAACCCAGTTCAGGATTTTGGTTCTTGGAGGGCACTGATCCCCATTTTATGTCCAGGGCACCCATGTTTGCCTTTTTGGAGCAGGAATCTCAGAAAAAAGAATTTGCAGAGAAGTTGGAATTGCTCCTGTACCGGGCGTATAATCTGCAGGAGGAGTTTGGATCCACCCTTGCGGCCGATAACATGTTGCTTGACTTAGGTGAGTGGAGCTGGCTGTGAATTATGGAAGAAAGGTGGGGTTGTCCTAATCCAGTGTTTCTCAACCGTAGCAACTTGAAGACCTGTGGACTTCAATTCCCAGAATTCCCCAGTTTATATTTAAAAGGAGATGTTATAATAAGAATATGAAGCCAGCCAATGTTTATTCCTAGTCTCTTGATTCAGTCTCCTTGGCTACCTTCATAAATGTGCCAGACTAGGCTAAATGGAGACACCAGCCTTGGTCCTCACGTGCTCTGTGAACCAGGCCACCAAACTAAACTAACTTTGCGCCACCTTTATCGGTTTTGGCATTGTGGTTTGTTCATCTGGATTGAGGGTTTCGGGTGCTGTTTAAATCCTGTGGCTGGCAGGTGTTTGGGAGAATAAAAAAATACAATCATCTCAGAGTATGAATCGCTCGCTGTGCCACTCTTTGTGATCACACTCAATTCAAGTGCAAAATAAGTTTTAGGAACTGGCCGCGTCTTCATGTTGTTTGGGGACTCAAGTTTTTAACTAATATAGTTCAGTGTTTCTCAACCTCAGCAACTTTAAGAGGTGCGGACTTCAACTCCCAGAATGTTTCAGTGTTTTATTCTGCTATTTCTCGATAGTAGTTGTTTGGATCATAATTGTCATAATCCCAACAAATTCTCGTAGAGCTTCAGCATGCACTAGACTCAGTATAAGTCTAGTATATCTTTACATTCTCATTGTGTTTTACAAATCCTAGTACTACTTGTGTCTTTTTACCCTTAGTTACCTACAGCATTCAGACGACTGATTGTAAAATTGATTGTAATTTTATAAGTTTCCTGGGTTTTAACCCCTTACATTGGAACCTTACATTAATAATTTTCATTTCATTTTTTTTATTCTATCGAGATGATTTTTTCATTTTTATTTCTATTTCAGAATGACTCTTAGGGTCTTAGTTTTATGCTGGTCTACGACAGACAGACAGAGAGAGAGAGAGAGAGAAAGGAAGGAAGGAAGGAAAGAAAGAGAAAGAAGGAAAGAAAGA